ACCCCATTTGTTCGATAACCTACTTTTAGTGATTTTTAGAAAATGCCGGGCAGTGTCAACATTTTTACAATCTACTGATTATCGCCATTGGATGCTTTATTCTAAAGGAAAGGTTATTTCTCCACCTTTCTCAGTGAAATTAATTGGTGGTTTAAAACTGAAGTTGCTTTTACTGAGTGGACTTCGATGAAACTGAGTTAGATGCAGATGAATGCAAATGTTTGAACTAGCTTTTTCTGTGCTTTAAAATCTCTAGAGAATTACAAATGCGTGTCTTCCACTGTGCAAAACTGGTAAAAGAGATGTTAGGATAAATTGTGCATTCACCTATGATTTAATGCGTTTGTACTAAATTGAGTTTAAATTGTTAAGAGTGCCGTTTGAACTATTCTTGTGACATTGACTACGAACTTTTTTCATATATAAACCTCATGAACAATTCTGACATGTAACACAAAAGATTCACGTCATATAGTTACTTCACTGCACTGCACTAGGAAAAGAACTTTCACAACTATAAAAAAGTTTAGACAAACGAATTCTTGAGAGCTTGCCTTCGTCATATTGTATTATAAATCACTGCAATATGAATCTAAGGATTTGAACACCTTGATTCTAAAAATCTGATAACTTAAACTTAGCTCACTAATTACTTTCGTGAGCTATGAATGCATGAACCTGACACTTCTCCTCAAAAGAGCGCTTGCAGTGATACCGACCGTCTACACGATGATCGTACCGACACGACCACATCGTTCCGCGACAACTCTCTACCGACACGATGCGGACACGCCGAAAACGTCGTCCGATTAAGAAAAAATATTAAAAACAAAATTCGGACACGCGTGTCCGATCACGACGTATCTCTTAAATTAATTTATAATTTTTAAAAATATGATATAGTTTCTTTGTTTTCCGAGATTAAACTTAAATTTCTTATTTCATATCCATCAATCACCAAATAGAATACGTCCTGCATTATACCGAATCACTTGTTTCATCAGATCGTTGATGTTGTATGTCAAGTTGATCCTATTTGGCTTATATTTTGTTGTGTTGTTGTACCTGACTATTTTTCTGGTACCTCAATATATTTTATATTTAGTTGAAGCTAGACAAGTTAGTCATGTCATCTCATCCGTTATTCATTGTTTTGTTTTTTAATCTATGATATTATCATTAATATATATATCTTATATAAAAAAAGTGATCGTGTCCCGCGCCGGTACCGTTGTCCTATAGATTTTTAAAAGAATGAGGCCGTTTTTGGGTGCCCGTGTCGGTGTCCTTGTCTGCATTCTGTGTCGCCTGAGTGTTCGCAGTCCGTGCAATCATACATTACTGAGCAGGGGTGAACAAAAGAAATCTTGACATGCAGGTGGAGAATAGAAAAAAACAGTGCATTAAAGGCGCACAAATCGATATCGTGAATCTTTCGGGTCTAAAAGCGAATGAAGTTGTCTTCAATCACTAAGGCAATTCAATGAAGCTTTCTAGGAAGAAACAAAAGCATCATCTAAATGGTAGAAAATAGGTAAAGATCATAAATATGTTAAAGAGAATCTTCTGATGTGTGATTGCTAACATTGCAGGAAATCAGGACACGTGAAAACTGACTATCCCTTAACTTTAAAGACCACTCAAGCAGAAAATAAAAGGTAAGGATTGAGGAGAAATCTAAGCTAAAGAAAGATCAAGATAGAGATACAAACGACAATTATTGGGCGGATTCGCACATAGTGGATTTTCATTAGAGTACAGGAACCAGAAGTTGAGACATCAAAATTGTGCTTTGATGCAGACACAATCCTGAATCAAGAACGAGGTTATGTGAACTTTCTAACGATGCAACTTCATTGAAGTTTCAGAGAAAAATTCTTGCATTCATATAGGAAATTAAAGAAAAACTCATGCTATTTGAAGTAATTACAATTTTTACAACTCTACAAAAAGAGCATGGCAAATTTTAATTAAAGACTATCAGACCATTTGATTTCAAATCAACTATGACTTATACTGATGAATTTGTATGAGGTAGGAATAAAATCGATTGGGAGTTATAGGTATGAAAGCATGGTATGCTATTAAAAGTCCTCACACCACACACTTTATTGAACCTGAGTTTAAGAAGATCTAAGGAGATGGCAGAAAAATTGAGGATTGCAAATGAAGTTTTAAAAAGCATAATGTTTGAAATTCAAAATGCATTTTAGAAGGCATGTTAAGAAAAACTAGGATGACTCGCTACTTTTGACAAATTGCAAAGACTAGGCAAGGACGCATTCATAACTCAAAATCCATTAAAAAAATCCCTTCCTGAGTTAAGATGCTTTTTCGCATTAGTGGCAATGCTAGGACACATCTGCACACACTTGCCGACGATGTCACCAGTAGCACACATTGGCGTGAGAAATACCTAAGGTGAATGATAGCCACAAGATACCCAACATGCATTGCAGTGTCTTCTCTTCCATTAGAAGAAACCGCAGATACCTGCGTGGTTCCTAATCTAACATTTGGTAATTCTATTGCTAGAGGGTCCACAAAAGGCCTCGTGAGAGTCATGTGGACATGGACAGTGCATGCTTCGCGATCACATGACTGAGTTGATGCAGCCCGGATTGTGTGTTACTAGAGTCTCTAGGATCTGGAGGCAGAGGTTACTCGTAGAGACACACCACAAAGAACGGCTGGGAGGATAGCAGTATATAGATTGGGTAATCTGCAGAACTTAGATTTTGATGGTGGAATCGTTTAGCTTGTAGACTGGATTTGAGCGACAACTTGCTCAGCATCAGTCATTCATGTGACAAGGCTCACTCTCCTTGTGTGAATCCACTTGCTTAAAGCAACACAAATGTTCCTTAGGATAATTAACTATAACATGCCCAAAACTTGCCTATTTTGTTAACCAAGATTCTCAACACATACATCAACCTCTAGACGGACATTTTCCATAACTCAAACACTGCTTCTCTATATTAAAGGCACCATTAACTACAAACTATCCATATAATGAGGTAACTTATCCCTCTATATAGTTACTTAGATGCAGATTAGAATAGTGGCAATATCAATTGCGAGTCTGCTATATTTTGATCTTATCATGGAAATATTGGGTGTCAAAATAGGTTGATGGGTTGGGTTTGGGTCTAACCCTAAATTGACCTAATCAGGATATAGTCAACTTGAAACCAACCCTTTAATAAACGGGTCAAAAACATCACATGAACCCAACACGCTAACAACCTGAATGACCCGAACCTAACACATTAACCAATTTTAGATTTTTTCTTATAATTTTTTATTATAAAATTTAGCTTATTTGATTAGAAAAAAAATAATTATACTACGTACAACAAAAATTTAGGGAAAGAAATATTAAATGGGTCATTTTGGGTCAAAAATAAGTTTATGGGACAACCTGAACCCAACCCATTTAATAAATGGGTTGGAAAAACCCAATATGAGCATGACCCATTTATTAAGCCGGTTAACCCTAACCCAAACCCAAATTTTTTAGGTTGGGTTCAGGTTAGGTCAGGTTGACATGTTGGGTCATTTTTTGACACCACTAGGAAATATATGCCTCATCTCTCGAAGTGGGAAGATATAGCCTACCATTACAAGGTCATCCACATAGGTTGAATATATATTGCGCACTTACTTTTGCCACCACTTACATTCTTTGGCTTTACCGGTTCCTACGAAAATTCCAAATTCTAGTAAATCAACCAATGCCACTCTACAACATCTCGACCAAAACTACTGCTAACAATCTTATTTTCTATGCTCACACTAAACACATAGATATAAACCACTTCATTCCTCTAACATATTCACTCCAATGAAATCAAAATCCTATACATTAGCTTCAGTGATCAACCAGTTCATCCAAAACAACCAAAGCTAATCCAAGTCATGAGCATGTTCCCACAAGTCTTATAAAATTGAGCATTGTATTATCACTTGTCTTAACAAATTTGATTATTCTCTTTGCCTCCTTTTTTTCACTCTATGTTTATGCACTGTGTTATTATGCTTTTGCTTATCAATTCATTAGATCAACATATTTGGTTAATTTGACTTATTAACAATTATGTTTGATTTGTGATTATGATAGATAAGATTGGGTTTACTATAATCTTGTATTGACTGTTTGGCTTGGTAGTTCTTGTTGAACAATTTTTTTTTAACCAAAATTTGATGACTTCTATGAGTAAATATATTCTTTCGATTAAGGCTAATTCGTTTGTGACAGGTTTTTTGTTACTTTATAAAGAAATTGTTTAATACAAAAATTTCTTGATTTGAAAAGTTTTATACTAGAAAACAGTTTTAGAAAGCAATAAGAATGTCAAGTTTTGATTTTGAAATTTTTGTACTAAACTATCAATCAATATTGCACCATCCAAAAACAACAACATCAAGTTTTTATCTCATTACCTAATGCAACCCTCCATTTTTCTCATTCAAAACTTTATATTCAACAACTTCAACATAAATAATTTTGACATAAAAATTAATTATAAGTAAAAATAACATTTTAAAAGTTATTTATTAAATTTCTTATGTTAGTTTTCCTTGAATATTATATTAAAATAAAAATGCTATGAGATATGAGCTACTAGAAAAAAAAAAAAAAAACTAATAAGTTAATTTACATGTGGAGGTGGTCACCGAAACTGGCCGGCGAACACCGTAGGTGATATCTGCCCACCGGCTCTAGCGGCCTGCAATGTTATTTAAAAAAAAAAAAGCCCCCGACTACCAAAAAATTATTTTGCATGATTTTATAAATGATATGATTTATTTTGAAAAACACAAAACAAAAATAGCTAAAAATTTAATTAAAAATAACAAAATAAAATAAAATTGATGCCAAGAAACCCTAAATAACTCATTATTAAGCAAGAATGTCTTCCAAAATAAAAGCTAGAAGTGAAAGAAATAGGACATACTGCATGCCTAACAAATATTATATAACTAATAAATCTTCTCTAAGCAGCATAAGGCCTTGCAACAGTTGCTGAATCCTTTGGAGTTTCCTGCTCCATGTTCATTTGGGCATTAATGCAGTAGTTCCTATAGCCCACACCATACCTGCTGCTGAAGATGCCCAAATGGAGCATTATGAGATAGATCAGTTGGGTCACTGTCAAAATTATGATGAATGCCTCCAAAGCTTTCTGAAAAAAAAATAGAAATATAAGTTCTTGTAATGAATTTGCAATTTTATATAGCATTATTGCGATGTAAATTTTACCAAGTCTGTATGTCGATTTCTCATACTGATTTGCTTGCATGCAAGACTGCAAAAAAATAAAATAATAAAATTAGCTAGGGGCCAAATTGTAATATTTGATGAGTAATATTTTTGTGAATTAGATAAAGTTTAAACTTTATGTAATGGTGTTGTGTTGCATGTATAAAAAAAAAATATTATGACATGACACTGATAAAAAAAAAATAAAACCAGCAATAAAGTAGTACTCACGTGGAATTGTAATTGTATTATGAAAAATAAAATAGTAAAAAAGTTATCCCAAAGAGGCCATAAGGATCTGTTTGGGATGGCTATAGCTTTTGAAAAAGTTGTCCCAAACAGACCCTAAGGCTTCGTGTGCGATAACTTTTTTACTACTTAAAATTTTTGTACTAAAAAGTTATTTTAAGAAGCAATAAAAAAGTCGTCCCACACAGAACCTAAGTCTAAAAATAATCTGATTTACTTTGAGATTAGTACATTACAAATTCATCATATAAAACACTAAACTTAAAATAAATTTAATAATTTTTTTAAACATATTTTAATACAAATTATATTAAGGTATCACAACTTAAATTTTTCTATGTCAAAGAATTATTGCATAAATACTCTCTCTTTCATCTCTCCTTTTTCTTAGTGTAATTGAATTGGCTTAACAATGTTTTAAGTCCACTTCTGAAGCTACCACATAATATATATCAGTGAGGCTAATAAGCCATTTGAATACTTACCCAAAAGCAATGGTTGTCATGGCCCAAGAGACGAGGGCGGAGGACACAGCAGAAGCCAAACTATCCCCACGCCATGCACAAACATGTACCAGTCCGGCCACCACCGCGCACACCCCCGTCGCGCCGGCGATTAGCGAGAATATCAGTAAGTACATCGTAGTAATGTTGCCTCTCATACCTGCAAACAGGTAAACATATCAACTCAACATCAGATGATGAGTCATATCAGCTCAGCCACCGCAATAGAAAAAAGCTTTCGACACGCATTTTACAGTCGATTATATTTCCATCAGACATCCGTCGAAAATGCTCATTTTCCAGCTGAATTTCATGATTTCCTGCAGATTTGGGCCGCTATAGTGATTCGGGATGGCCTTTTTAATGTTTTTCAAAGCCGTTTTTTAATATAATTTTTTTTTGAAAAAACTGCTTGATTTAGAAAGTAATAAGGAAATTGTCCCGAACAAAAGCCTCATATATGTTGAGTTTTGGCATTTGTTTGTATGATGATAACATGGTAATTCTACTCTTTTCCATGCTGGTACAGTGAAATAAAGTATCTTATTTTCTAACATTTTTATCATCCCACTAACATTAAGAAATAAAATTCTTAAACAAAAGAGTGGGTTATGCCAGAAGTCAATTGCTTCATATATTCCGGAGAGAATTTGGAGCTAAAGGAAAATTATATGGCAAAATACATAAAAATGTAACAAAAATCTATTTGTAATTTGTTTTTACAATGGATTTTGGGCCATCGGTAAAAATCTCACAAAAATATTTTTTGATAATCAAATTTTTTGTGATTTTTTTTCGGTGATATTTTGCTAAGATCACCGTAGAGCGAGATTTTGGCATATTAAGATTTTGTTTTGGATGATTTTTTTACTATTTTGTAAAACTGTTGTAGAGAAATGAATTTTTTAAAGCTGCTGACTTAGTATAAGAACTTTTTAAAATAAACAAAAAAATAATTGTCAAATAGGAATTATGGTTGAGATTTGAAAAACAAAGCAAGGTCAAAGCCATCCCAAATAAATCCTAAGGGTTTGTTTGAGGTAGCTTTCTACCTGCTTTGCTTTTCAAACAATAATCATAAATTTCATTTCGCTACTATTTTCTCATTGTTTTTCAAAACTTCTTATGGTGAAAAGCTATTTTGTGCAACCAGAATAGCTAATAAGTTATTTTCATCTTCCATATTAATTTTATAGAACACTGCAGTCATTCCAAACAGAACTTAAATTTTGAGAGACAGCTCACAAGTAATCCCACGTTGGAACAAGTTAATCATCCCTAAACAGCTATGTTTAATTTGATTTTTTATGTAGAATAATCTCAACTAAACCCTAATCTAAATTAAATGCATCATTAACAAATTTAGGTTTCTTTTGGTTATTCTGTACCTTTCATAAAAGATAGATTTAAAATTATTGTTTGAGAGAACAGATCGAGTTTTCTATCAAATTTTTTTTGAAAACAATACAAAATTATGGTTCTCTAAAAAACATTTCTGCAAAAGTGGCACATATAAATAACAGAAAAAAAAATTCTGTCATTTCGAAACTGAAAAGGCAAAATTAAGCGGTCTCAAACGAGGCCTAATTAACTTACGTTGATGAGCAGTGTTGTGGTTGATATACTTATCAGTGGACCAACCAGCCAGACCTAGCACAGTAACATACATCATGAAGTTTATAAGAAGAAGAGGACGCAATACTCCTTTGCTCCAAGTTGCCACCATTTTCTCCAAATTACTTAGTTTTTTTTTCTTGAAGATGTCTGCTTGCGTTTATATAAATGGTTAGGAAGAGAGAAGTGTGGCCACGTGGAAGGAGATGAGAGAGAAGAGCGTGACGTGTAGGGCTGAGATGGCTGCAGTTCGTTCTTTGATCAGGCATCTGCGGACGGGTGGTAACTGAAAGATGATGAGACCTTTTCAAATGGAGAGTTTAAACGGTCAAAAAAAAAGTATTAAGGATATACACTTACATTAGTTATATTAAATAAGCTTTGAGATTAGTATTGCAAATAAAAAAAATATTTTGCACTAATCTAAAAACAAATCTAATGACTTATATTAATTGCATCATGATGTTTGATAAATTTTTTGTTCATGGAGGAAAAAAGTGTGTGAGATCGAATTTCATGAGATAATTTATATTATGATGAGCTTGAAAATTATTAGATCTAGATTGCACTAATCTAAAGGCAAATTCAATGGCTTGATGTATGAAGCCAGATGAATATGTTGATTTTTCAAGATTCTTGGAAAATATATAATTTAATTTACATGAAATGTAAATGATACATTATTATGAAAGAAAAAAAAAGTTTTTTATGATATTCATATGATCAATTGAAAATTTATTGATGTGCTTGATGTTTGTTGTATGTGCTTATTGTTCAGCTTGTTGAATTCAGCTTGGTAATAAATGAATTAGGTACAAATAACTAAATATGAGATTATTTGTGTTGAATTTGATTGATATTTTTAGGAAAAACGAGTAATAAATCATAAAATATGTGGCTCGACTCCATGACATTGCAGAAACAAGTTAATTTTTTCACAAATTTGATAGTTAATAAATCAAATTGAAGAGAGTGTTAGCTTATTCATATTCGACTTGTCAAAGATAGAAAATTATGAGCAAAATAAGAAACGAAGATAGTAATTGGAGAATGATTTGCTTGCATACATCTTGAAAACTCTTTTTTATAATATAGAACACTAAAGGGAAGAAAGAAGGGAAGAATAATAATAAGTGAATCACTAGTAATTAATCTTATATTGATGATAGTAATTACATTAATTATTTGCGAGGAAATGCAATTTGTGATTTCAAAAATATGTCTTAGTGATTGGAAATGATCTTCTTAATGATGAATATTAACTTGCCTTGTTATCATGATCCTTTTTAATTATGAAGATTAACTTTCCTTATTATGCCTTCATATGTGACTAGATTGAGTCATATTATTTATGATTCTCTTAGGTCCCTTTGATCTAGGCCATTGTGTATTTTATTCTCTTAGACCCTAGATGATGATCCATATCTCTATCGAGCACTAATTTACCTTAATTAGTTTGTAACCTAGTCTAATTTTGTTGACTTAGTTAATCTTACTAACCCTATGTGTTGCCTTAGTCTAGCTCAGTATATCCTAGTGACCCTCACTATAACTAATCAAGGTTTGGATCATCTCTTAGGTGAAGAGTTTAGATCCTATTGAGTCATAGTTAATCTAGTGGACTATCATGCTACACTACTTTAGTTCCTAAGGTGTTTATTCTAGTGATCTTATTTTATTGAGCCATAATTAATTCAGTGGTCTTTACCTAGTATTTCTTAACTAGTCTTAGGAGGTGTACATGTTTCATTGTGGTCTCATCATAGTCTGATCTTGAAATTGAGAGGAAAATTGCCCATCCTACTAAGTCACATTTGATTTTTTTTTTTGTGTTAAAACCCAGAATGAGTTTACATGTTAATTTCAAAAATAAAGATTACATGTCCTTAGAGGAATTTGAAACTCACTAATTAAGTGCACAAAGAACTACAATCAAAAGATAAAATAAATCAAAAGAGAAAAGATCACTATTTATTACAATAAAGAACTAGGAAAGCAAAGTTTGGCAAAGCAAAACCAAAAAATATTTAGCCCAGGCTAGAATCCACAACTATGCTCCATGATATTAACAAGGGATACCCACAAAACTGAAAAAGGCCACAGAACACCAATACACCATAATTGGTTAGTGTGAAGGGCCATATCCGCAATGTTATTCCTCTTCTTATTATTTGGTTTATTTGGTTAGCCAGAAATGATTCCCGGTTTAATAATGCTGGGATGAATCATCATACTATTATTGCTAGAATTAAGGAGAAAGTTTTGGCTCTTTTCTCGGCTAATCTTTTATCTTATAAGAGTTTTGATAAGGTTGATTCTTCTGTTGAGATTTTCGGGATTGCTCCTGCTGTTCCTTTGCATGCCCCGGTTAATAGGATTTTATACTGGTCATGTCCCAATTCTAACTCTTTTAAGTTGAATATTCAATCTGTTTTGACTGAGACCAAGTGGTGTATTGGGGGCTTAATCAGGAACTCTGAAGGGAAGTACATTGTTGGTTTTGCTGGGACGTCTGGGGTGGTTCATAACCTGGAAGGGTTTTTGCTGGCTGTGCTTTACGGGCTATCCCTATGTGTTAGCCTGGACGTTAGTAATGTGGTTGTGGAGAGTAATATAAACACTGATCATACTATTTTTCTGGGCGTGGATGGTAGTAGCTGTGGGCATGCTCTATTTTATACTCGCAGAAAGATTTTGTTCTTAATGAATTCTTTGGAATGTTCTTTCAATGTGGTTAACTCTGAGATTAATGATGTGGCTCGTGCCTTGGCTCTCTTTAGTAGCAGGTTTTCTGACATTATTGATCTTACTTTCTCAAATCTGCCAGTGCATATTCAAGGCTTGATTAATTTGGATAAGAGGAAAGTTCCGTATGTTTTGGGTCTGTAGTTCGGTCAGGTCTTGGTTGGGGTGTTTCTCCTTTGTTTGTTGGTTGCTGGGCATTTTAATTTGTTGCTGGTTTCGCTGAGGGTGTTATGTTTTGCTCTTGGGTTTAGCTGCTTCCTTCTTGAACCATTTTGTCCCTGCTGGAGCATTTTTTTTTTTCATTGGGGGTTGTTCGTGGTGGTCTGCTTTTGGGTCCTTTAGTGCTGGTTGTTTCTGGGATGAGCGGATCCTTGGCCGGCTGTTTGATCGTTCAGGGAGTATCTTCTTGCTGATCTGCATTGTGTTTTTTTGTTTTTTGTCGGTTGGCTTAATCTTTTCTCTTGTACCTCTGCTTGCCTGTTGTGCAGGTTTTTGGAGCATCGCGCTCGTTTTGTGCAGGGTTCGTGTACTGATTGTTAGATTAAGCTGACTTTGTTTTTCTTTTCCCACGGTTTTTTTTTTGGATCTTAGAATGTTATTAGTTTCATTGTAATTTTGTTTAGTAGGGAATTCGGGCTCTTAGGTTTTCTTTCTATTTTTGATTGTAGCTCTTTGAGTGTTAGCGAGCTAGAATTCCCTTTAAGGACTTCTGTAATTTTTTCCTTAATTAGCACGTAAGCCCGTCTGTGGGTTTTAACCAAAAAAAAAAAAAAAACACCAATACACCATAATTGATTCTATATGCTTTGGTATCCATATTTTATATCTTGATAAATCATAACAAAATGTTGGTCCCTATACCTACCTTAAGCTGTTTGAGCTAATTTTATGTTGTTAAGTAACTAAACATATTATATTGTGGATAGAGGATTGTTCTCGTTTAAGGCCACCTTGAAATTTAAAAAATTCTTATTTTTTTAGGATATTATGATGTGTTATTATGCCTTAGGATAAATCATACACATTATTAAATCTTAAACACATTAAATGGCAACATCCACCTTAGGGTGGACAATATTCATCTATTAAGTTCTAAATAACTCTTATAAAATAGTTGAAAATTCTTATTGATAAAATTAAATAAATGATAAAATTAAATAAAAATTTTAAGTCATTGATCATTTACATGAAATCAATTTTTTAAAATTTTATAAGAATTATTTTATTTGACTCCTAAATAAAGTTTTAATTTTCTCTAATTAAGATGGTATATTTTCTTATGTACTTTTTTTTTTAAATTATTTCTTTTAAATATAAAAACATATTAGTAAGTATAATATTTTTATTTTTATCTTTCTAAATATTACACTACTTATATCATAAAATATATCTTTGATAAATATTTCTCACATTTATGTCTAATATTATATTATATCAATACTTTTTTTCAATTACCGAAAAGTTTCAAATTAATAAAATCTTTTCAATTGGATCATTTTTCTTTTCACAAATATTTATATAAAAAATTACATAGCTCTTTTAATTAAGAAAGCATACAACATAAGCTAAAATTTCTTTAAGGAAAATAAAAAGCATACCATTTCTATCAAATGCAAAAGGATTACCTTCAATGTCTAAGAGCATATTATATGTGTGTGTGTGTCAAAATAAGCACAACCAAACAGATCCAAATTGATTGATAGAAAATGTCAACCAAATAAATGAATAAAATATATATTAATATTTTATAGCACACATGAAGATACCAAATAATGTTTTCTTAATCATAAATAATAAATATTTAAATTTGAATATTCAATGGATCATAGTTCTTCAAATATTATATAGTTAGTACATCTTCAAGCTGCATCGAGCCTTGCAACAAATGTTGGACTTGATTGAGTTTGAGTGTCCATCACCCTAAAGGCAATGTTGCGGCTCCTTGGACCCAAACCATACTTAAGAGTCATGTAGCACAAGATTAAGACATAGGTTGGTTGGGTCACTAACAAAATCAAGATGAGTGCCTCCAAAACCCTCTGGAAAAAAAAAAAGAAGCAATGTGTTATAATTTCTTTGGATAAAAAAAGGGCAAGAATATTAGCATGATTTGAAAGTTTTTTAATTTATTTTAAGATAAATGTAATATAAGAGTTGGTTGATAGTTGTCATATTACATTTATCTCAAAGTAAATTTAAAAATTTTAAAACTCATATTGATATATATTTTTTTCATTTGTAAGATTTGATGAAATTTCAGTTTTACCATGCATATTCCATGTTCTCTCATATTAACTTCCTTCCATGCAACACTGCAAGACAAGAAAATAAAGTTAAAAAATAGTAGTAAGCAAAAAAAAAAAAAAA